TTAGTTAATGTCAAAATTTTGAACCAAGAATCGACACAGAGCATCAGAGTTGCAACTGGGAGTAAGAATGGTGGAGCAGTACATGCTTATTTGAGTCAACAGTTCTGTGTTAGTAATAGTATGTTCAAAGAGCTTCTTCTCTCTTTGTTGTTTATTCTTTCTCCTCACTAGAAATCTGTAAGATACTCATTGTTTAAACCCTAAGATCTTATTTTTCGCGTGTACCATAAGTAATCTGTAAAATACCCATTTTTGTATTTCGTTTTTGTGACTACCGAGATTCACTGTACTTTATGAGCAAAAGAATATTTGAAATATAAATATGGTTTTCATACACATACCATTTTCTTTTATATTTCCTTCCAATAAAAGACCTATGTGAGACACATTTGGGAATCAAATTTTCTAACAGTAGCTTTTAGTATCTCAGCTCCATGTTTAGTTAGAAGAATGGTATGCTCGAACTGCGCAGAGAGGCTTGTTCTGTTACCACGGTCCAATTATCATCCCCCATGACCATCATTCTATTTTATACCTTCTACTGCAAGAAATTTAATACATCTTACAAAGGAACTAAAAATATTCGTCTCAAGTTAGACCTCTTCAGTTAAATCTTCGGAACTCATGGAACCGGTTCGATTCAACCCTTGTTTTTTTCTAACCAATACGTTATTAGAGCCTTAACCACTTGCCTGAATCTTCTCCTATACGTCGGAAGCTTAGATATGCTCCGTACCATTCCCATCATTCTACAACACAAAGGAGAAACATCTAAGTTTCAGAACAGAATCAAAGAATCCATAAGGCCATAAGGGCTCATATTTTCCATGTAAGATCTTTACCTTTTGCTGATCCCTTGAATTTGAGCAGCTCTAAGGTTTTCTTGAGGTTGGTTACTTCATGGTTTCCAAAGAGTACAACTTTCTCCAAGTTTAATCACTCTAATCTGATCGTTCAATACCATAATAGGATTAACGAACCAGTTCAAGAACTTGTCCTGCGGTCTATTCAAATGTGTCACTCCGGAGCCATCAAGCAGAAGCACACCATGAGCACCAGCTTTAATAGACCTAAGCAGTGTATGAAGCAAAGCATATGATGGAAGGCCAACACTGATAATCGATGATTCGGTTCCTCCATGTGTTCCCTTTAAAGACTCATATAGATTATCTGGTGTTATCACTCCTTCGTCTAGTAGTTCTTTGCCTTCCATCTCAAACCATCCCATCATATGCTCCCATATCTGTTGAAAAAGATTCTCCAGCAACTGAAATAAAAAGTAATGTACTAAGTTCATAATCAAGATTGATATGTACCTGAACCATCCTCACTTCTTGTATTGCTTCTCTAAGAGATACAGACCGAACTAGACTTGGTACTAGCATAGCTGGAGGCTCTGCAGAACCGGAGCTATTGACTCTGCTTACAGCTGAAGGGTGAACAATCACAGATACTTCACTTGAGAAGGATCCTTTTGTCATTCTGTATCTTGGCCCATGTGTAGGACAGTTTCTTGGTGTTAGAAGTATGCATGGAGGCAGAAAGTGAATGTCTTAAGGGTTTAAAAAGAGACATACTTTGGGAAGATAGTTCCTTCTCTGAGGTAAAGCCAATCATTTGTGTACTCATCAAACTCTCCAACTACTGCAATCACATAAGACACTCCTCTTCTAAATGCTTTCCTGAAAAAACAGAGTATTTAAACTGTTACAAAGAAGCCTAAGAGTTTTCAGCTTGGAGCATTTTGGTGATAAGATCAATGGTGAGACCTGAAATACAACTATGGATCCATACAAGCCGACAAAATTGCTGGAGAAGATGGTGGTCAAGACAAATCCAATGACAATAATAGGCCATAACATTATTGTCAAACCAGCAACAGGGATGCTAGCTATCTCAAGGAATGACCCTTCTCTATTAATGGCATCTTGAGATAGTCTGCACCAGCCTTTGAACAGAATATAAGGGCTTTTAACAACAGCTATTACAGTGAAAAGAGGGATGTCTATAACTAGTCCTATAATCCCTACAATGATGCATCCAGGAACATGAATCAACCAGCAAGAAGATTCCACACATCAAAACACACAAGAATCAGCAAAAACTATATGCTATAATTTTGAGCCTCTTTACCTAAGAGTTTGAAGCTCATCTGAGGCAAGGAATTCTCGCAGTTCCTCTAAGTAAAGTGGATAAGAATGGTAACAAATATCTGCAAAATCGGTAACCACAGTACAACTTCCTTTGATTGTTCCCCAAGTTCCATCCTAATAGTACATAATAAACAGAGTCAAGGTGATATGATTCACTCTCAAGTGAAAGAAAACAAACTGTGGGAAAAGTTATGTGATAGTACCACAAGACAGTTCCAGTTGATTGTTGCTTGTCGGAATTTCTCTAAAACCATAGCTCGTTCTCTCTCTCTCTCTCTCTCCCAGATCGCTGTACTGCACACACGCAGCAGACACTGAGTGTGAACATAATATAGAAGAAGGCACAGTGTAACAGAATCTATATGTTAAAACTGAACAAGCAAATTAGTCGTCAAGAAGAGCATTTTGTTCTCAAGTCAAGCATCATTAGATCTCCACGGATAATACATCACACTAGAATCCTTTATATACAGTAATCCAAACACAATCAAAAGCTTAGTCCATGGCTAGTCATGATGAAGTAAAAGCAAGAGATTAAACAACAAGATCATGATGAAGCAAAAGCAAGTGACTCAACAACAAGATTCCTTTTTCGAATCAAGAACATTAGATTCTCCACGGAAACATAACACTTAGGGAATCCAAAATCAAAACCGCAGAAACCCAGCTCTGCTCTGATACATTATTAAACTGTATAAAAATTAATCCATTATATCATCAATGTTCGTACATGGTTCATATCAATTATATACACTGAGTAAGCTAAAGGAAACTTAAACCGGTGTTGGTTATCCATACATAAATAACCGAATTAAACCGGGCGTAAGAGGAGCAGACTGCGTCGAGTTCGTTGCAACAGACTACAATGGACGTCGACCTTGCACTCCTAGTAACTCCACCACTGTCTCCTGTTGCGTAGATTTCAGAATCTCAATTTTCGATTTAAAATCTTGCGTAATGTAAAATCTTAACAATATCGTCCTAAAAACGGATTAGTTAATGCAAAAATAGGTTCTGGGTATTACCTAGATAACTAGTTTTACAAAGACACAATCGTTTTACTGGAATTAATAGAATTACTATATTTAGAATTATGATTGGTATTATTACACTACAAGAAAACAATGCCAACTCCGACAAAAATTTATGAGAAAGTGAATTATCGGAAGATTTGCTTGGTCTTTATGAGAAATTGCCGAGAAAATATCAATTGTATCAGAAACTTCTCGGTAAATTCCGATGAACATAACTTGTCGGAATTCTATCAGTTCATATCGTCGGAATCTTGTGGGTATAAAAGAAAATGTTTCCGAGAACTTTATTTCCTCTGAAAACTGTCAGTATTCTCTTGGAAATCACTGACAACAGCAACGCCTCATAAATTTGTCGGAGAATTTGACGGTAAATCAACGGCGGAGTTTCCGAGACGAGATCGACGACAACCGTTCCCACTAATTTATCGGTATGTGGTAGTTTCCTTGGCTTGGGAGTTCATTAATTTCTTAAATCTCCCTTCTCCAGTAAGTTTTTATATATCACCATATTCATCTATTCTTCTCACAGAGAGTTTTCAAGATTCAACCATACCTCTGAGTATCTGACGAAGGTAACAATATCTTAAATTCTTTTCAAAATTTATTATGCTTTGTATTCTTATGATATAATGAATGGATATTTTGAGTTATGGAACCAAGGTAGAATTTGTTTGGCAGATCTGGGTTTGGGGGTGTTTGTTGATGGAGGAAAACGGCGGCTCTGGTGTAGGAGAGATGGGTTACCTTACAAAATTGCCTCCTCCACAACAAACTCTTCTTCTCAACAGGATTATTGCAGCTTTGATTCCGGCGGCGGAACTTCACGGCGTCATGGTGACAGATCTGGTGTACGACTACATTATTTTCTTCGGTGGTTAAGGTCTTGTATCCTCGGTTTTGTCTAGTATTTTTAATTCCAATTTTGTAAACCGTTTCTAATCTCCAATTAGGGTACTGGTTTATTCGTATTAGTGTATTAATTACATGTATATGTTGTTGTCCGAGTCATAGTTAGGCAACTAAACCGGGACATTGGTGTGGTTTAGTTGAGCTAAGCTTCGGCTCGGCTCCAATCTATTTTTTTTTTAAATTTTTTTTTTGGATTTGTCGGCAAATTCTCGGAAATCACCGCCAACATTTCGACAACACTGTTTGTCGATGATAAGATAGTCGGAAACACCTCGTCATTTTCCGACAACCACTTCCAAGATTAACCCGAGAGAAATCTTTCGTCGCTAAATTTCCGACAAACAGATGATGAACGTCATTTTCCGAGGCTCAAACCCCGACCAATTATTGATTCTCGGAAACGTCTCGGAAATCATGAATTCCGACGAGTTTCCAATAATTATTGCTGTCGGCACAGAGACTTTTTCTTGTAGTGTTAGTATTATTATGTATAGTACTGAAATAAATTAGCTTCGTAGAAAAGTGAAAAAGTGTTATGTTTTCATATATATATAATATATCCCCACAAACCCCCATTGCTCCAACACCACCAAGGCATCAAGAGCTTAACTACTTTATCCCTTTAAAGTGTACATCATTTTTATTTCTAATACTGGTCTATGCTTACCTTACCGTATCACACACATGATAATTAGTTACTTGATCCCTTGAGTCCTTTGGTTCTTAAAACAAATTTTATCAAACATAGGTTTACAAGTTTGTAGGGGAGACTACAAATCGGTTTTATTATTTTTCACATATCATACAAAAACAACAAAAGAAACACATCCTCGTACCAGACAGGATAGATGTGTCTACAACTTTATTTGTCTCCCAGGTGATTTTTGCCACGAGACTTTTTAACTTAAACCAAAGTTCTACACTCTCCAGCCTGAGGGTCCCACATCGCAGGTAAAAGATATTTCTTTCCGGCGAGACCCAAAGCGTTGTAACTCGCTCCGGTAGTCTTGTCCACTAGAACACGACCCGCGTAACCCGGGTAAGCACCAGACCCGAACCTGTCGACACAGTACGAGGCGGGTTCTTGATCCCCACCATTAACGTTACCACTTTTAAACGTGTTCGTGGCGGTGTTAGCCAGTAGCGTCGCGAGGTGAATAATCATTCCGTCAACTCCGACGTCACCGTTAGGTGCAATCAACGGAGGAGAGTGAGGTCCGTTTAACGGCTGATGAAACGGCCGAGCACAGTAGCCAGGACACTGCTTTTCAGGGTTTCCGACCCAGACGTAAGCTCCACCGTCAACGGAGCTTGACTTCGACCCGTGACTCCCGCACCGGTTCGTGCAAAACCCCTCAACGGTGACGTCTTTCGCCGTTAAAACGGCGGTTAACGAGCCAACACCGCCTCCGCTAAGTTTGCTTGACAGAGCTTTGAGGTGAGGATCTTTTAAGGATTTTCCAAGAGGGTAGTCCTCGAGGAGGAGCTGTTTACCGACGACTATCGTTGACGCTCCGTCTTTGTACTTCTCCGTCGTCTTCCACCATGATGCGACAGAGGGACCTTTTGCGGCGGTTTCGGTGTAGTTGATAGAACGGATGAAGTCGACGATGGCAGACCGTTGGATTGGTGTGAATTTTCCGTACCAAACGATATTGAGATTGATATTATTTTTGTTTACTGAAAGGCTGTAATTTAGAATGATGTTTTTGTTTACTGAATTGCTGATATTGAGACTGATGTTTGCTTTCAAGGGAGGCAGCTCGATCTTCATGGCGGAGGAGAAGCCGGCTGTGGCGGAGAGGAGAACGAGAAGAGCTGCGAAACGGTAAATATAGGCCATAGAGGGAGAACAGAGAGAGATGTTTTGTTTTTAAGTTGGGGTTTATGGAAAAAACTAAAGGCTATATTTATAGAAAATTTTGAACGGGGTACATAGCTATATAATAGAATGCCGAGGGCGTCCATGTCAACGTATGCCATGAGTTAGTATTTAACTGGTTTGCGCAAGGATATTCTCCAGCCTGTAGTGACCACTGAGGTTCTAGAAGGGTGAAGTGGTGGTAGTTTTCATAAACTAGAAGGATGAATACTTCCGTGCATGTCAGGATAATGTTTATACCACTTACACAGTTACACTGAAAAGTTCCTGTCTGAAGTTTTTGAAAGATGTAATCATGTTGTGCACAAAAAAAAGAAGAAGTTGTAATCATGTTAATTCAATTAACAAAAGCATGGGTGTTTTTTGATCACCAACTCAACGGATACACAAAGAAGAATTCTTCAGGTTTGTGAGATAAATCGATCTTATTCATCGAACATAGATTCCAAAAAGATATGTTGACTTCTGGATTTAATCGAACCACATAAAACACACACATTGGATAAATATACTAGCTAGCTGATTGTTTTCGGTATTCATTCCATAGAATATTGGTTTACTACTTGGTTTTTTAACCAGAACTGTACATAATGAATAATACTATTTCTAGTTAAAATAATGTTACCATTAAGCATCATGGATTGGTTCCTAATAAAGTATAAATAGGCTTCTATTAATTAGAAATGTTACTTCTTATAAAAATATGCATGCCAGATGACAACCATTATATTTTATTTTTGTCAATCAACGTGTTTGATTTTTTTTATTTCATAATCAAATTTCAGGTTAGACTAACTTGAATCACAAGAATTTCTTTCATCAAATAATTTTCCATCAATTTAAATTATTAAGTGTGTTTCATCAAATTTTAATTAATTATGGACTCTGATTGATTAATATATTTTCCAACCAATATACTACTGATATGGATATGAACCAATACAACTTTCATTTGCTTATTTGAAAATTAAATGTTTGTCACCATGTCATAACATTTAAAGTGTGTTTAGTGTGAGTGTAGATATATAGGTATATCTGATCGCCAGTGTGAATCGTAGGGTTCAAAACTGGTTAAAATGCATGAAATAGTACCAACGCCTTGCAGTGATTCGTTGGCATGATATGTCACCCGCTTTAAATGTTTTAATGTGCTTGTGAAAGCGATAAAATGTACCGTAACGATCAATTATAGATAATGAACGAGCTCATTCATAGATACGTACGTATGGCCTCCTTAAAAATAGTCAATCGGAAACTATTGATACATTTACTGTAGTTGTTATCATTTGGAAAATCCACAAACTATTGATTAAGAACAAGGACTTCAAACAAAAATACAGGACTTATTTTTTATTTAAAAAAAATAAACATAGTAATATGTGATTGTATTTATATATACTTAGTGAGAAGATATGAAATTTTGTAAGGGGGGTAGATTAAAGTTAGCAAACCAAAGTCAAATATAGTGTTAGCATATCCATTCCCCTCCATCACCTAACTTTTTACTATTGAAAGTAAATAACTGTCTTTATTATGGGCAAATGTAATGTTGTATGCATGCCCACTTGAATCATGTCTCTCCTTTTACCTTTTTGGCCAAAGAATGTAAAAGTTGGAGCATGCATATATACACGAAACAAAAATAAAAGCATGAAACATGTTGATTATATTGTCTGGTTGCAAACACTATATTTGACTTTGGTTTGCTAACTTTAATCGACCCCCCTTACAAAATTTCATATCTTCAAAGATGAATCTAAGTCATCGTGTTTTATCGCAAAAGTTGCAATGAGCACACTTATAAGGTGACAACGACACTGGTTCAATAGCTACGATAATTGAACATTTCTATCGGCGAGAGATACTGAAAAAGGCCAGCGAAAGTAATGTAAGTCCAATCAAATTATTAATAAAATATGTAGATAAGGGTCAGTCTTCTTTAACTGAATCTTCTTGTCCTCAGATCACTGTATTCGTCTGCATTCGACGTGTACATCCAATGTATCAAACTCATAGGAGCTCCAATCATTCTTATAAGTTCGCACAAGCAGCCAATACAACGTTAACGTAATCAATTCCTTTTTACTTATAACTACATCACCAATGCCTGAGCCAAAAAGTTGATCAAAATTAAAGCTAGTACACAACAACCTAACTAATATAGATAACTAGCATGAGTCAAAGTCCTTGAGAAGTGCCACTAGTTAAGTAGACTCCTTGTTCTATTTTATTTGATCTACAATTTGATAAGTGCAACTTTATATTCATAATTTTGATAAAAATTATAGTTTATGAAGTTTATATATTCTATTTATATTTTTTTTTTGACAACATTCTTTTTGAATATTTTGTACAGTTCTAAACATGAAAATGTATTAATATTATACACAATGAAAGATTAAATTTCTCCCACATAATTTCTGCTTAATTCCTGATTTTTCTTCTAGGAGCTAAGGCTAACCCTACCGTCCGAATATCACCTAGCGAACAGGGAGTAGTCTACTTAAGCAACCACATTAGTGAAATTTAACAAATCATTCATGAAGTAATAGAATGTTTTATTATAAAACTATGGTAAGAGTATAAATTTATATAGTTCAAATATTACAAAATAAAAGCTAATAGCTAAAATTTAGAAATACAAAACTAAATTGTAGTGTAAACAATATATAAAACTTATAACTAACAAATTTAATTAACTTTGCTGTAAGGTTTATAGTATAAAGTATTGACTAAACATTATGAATTTTCCTAAAAAAAATACAAAGTTTAATTTGTAGAGAATACTATTTGTGAGATTTTCTTCATGTTTTTTTTTTTAAAAAATGGTAAGGCATGCACCTTCAGTCTAAAACTTGAAATCCGGCTGTCTGAGCGGAGTTGATTTTGGATAAGACCAATCTTGGCATGACAAAAGATTAGTGAGTATAACTCAAAGGTCCCACCTGAAAAATCACAAGTAACTGAAGCATTTGGCTCAAAAAGATTCAGAAAGATTCAAAAAGACCAAATTTTAGGAGATCGGAATTGTTCAAAACATGAATCTTTTCTTGCTTTTATATCACGTTGTCCGAGTAAATACACGTCCCCTGATGCCTTGGCTTGGTGCATGAAAGTTATCCCTCCCTCCAGGCTCTGCTCCACTTCAGATACACAGGAGTAAAGGCGAAGTGTGTCAAGGGGATGGTGGTTTGTACGATAAGACGAAGTTTCATTTCCATGATCGGTTTATTTAAATATATGTACTCAGAGAGAAGGGGACGTACACCTATATTAAGTGCATGCTTCTGATGGGGCCAATCACTAGTCTAGAACCTGTATAATCTTCCTCTGAGTCTGAATCATGCTTCATGTCGAACACTCTTGAGCCTCTCTCCCGATAAACTTCTTGAGGCTCTCAATCAACAGCTGCTAGAATCCTTGGTGGTTCTTGCATCCTTGTAACCTTACCTTCTTCATCTAATCCACACAAACTGTGTTTATTGTTGGCAGAGCAGAAATGGGAAAAATTGGAAACTGGGTACTTCTCAGTGTGATACAAAGAAAGTCAATGAAATTTGGGATATACAAACTTGAATAAAAATCTCCACGTAAAGTCTTAGCTAAGCTATGAACCACCAAAAAAAAATGCTTAACACCTATTACCATAAGCAGTCAATTCCAATTTCATTGATGCGTCAGATATATTGAGTAGCTAGAGATTACGACCAGGCAAACGGCAAGAAGGAACTAGTTTAGGACACACGAACTAGACTGGACGTAGCTAAAGCTATATCCTTAAGAGACACACGAACTAGACTGGACGTAAAACATGGCATGCATGCAGAAATTTTTGGACGCCAACATCTATGGGCATTAGCTTTGTTAAAAGGTGAAAAAGCGTTATCTTTTCATAGCCCAACAAATCCCAACACCACCAAGGGAATCAACATCGCTAACTACTTTATCCTCTATTCTTCCTTAAAGGCTTACACTAATTTATTTCTTTCTAATGGTCTTTGTCTACCGTATCAACACATGATAATTAGTTTTTAATCCAATAAGTCATTTGGTTCTTAAAACAAAGTTTATTAACATAGGTTTATAGTTTTAGGGGAGACTACAAATCGGTTGTATTAGTCTCCAAATCTCATACAAAACAATAAAAGACACACATCTTTTAAAAGGAAAAACAAAACAAAACAAAAGAAAGACATCCTTAAACCAGACGGGATAGATTCTAGAACTTTATTTTTGTCTCCCAAGTGATTTTTGCCACGAGACTATATAGAACTTAAACCAAAGTCCTACACTCTCCAGCCTGAGAGTCCCACAACGCCGGTAAAAGATATTTCCTTCCGGCGAGACCCAAAGCGTTGTAACTCGCTCCGGTAGTCTTGTCCACTAGAACATGACCCGCGTAACCCGGGTAAGCACCGGACCCAAACCTGTCCACACAGTACGAGGCGGGTTCTTGATCCCCATTAACGTTACCGCTTTTAAACGTGTTCGTGGCGGTGTTAGCCAGTAGCGTCGCGAGGTGAATAATCATTCCGTCAACTCCGACGTCACCGTTAGGTGCAATCAACGGAGGAGAGTGAGGTCCGCTTAACGGCTGATGAAACGGCCGAGCACAGTATTCAGGACACTGATCTTCAGAGTTTCCGACCCAGACGTAAGCTCGACCGCCAACAGAGCTTGACTTCGACACGTGAGTCCCGCACCGTTTCGTGCATAACCCCTCAACGGTTACGTCTTTCGCCGTTAAAACGGCGGTTATGGAGCGAACACCACCTCCGTTAAGTTTGCCAGACAGAGCTTTGAGGTGGGGATTTTTTAAGGACTTTCCGAAAGGGTAGTCCTCGAGGAGGAGCTGTTTACCGACGACGATGGTTGACGCTCCGCCGTTGTACTTCTCCGTCGTCTTCCACCATGATGCGACGGTGGGACCTTTTGCGTCGGCGGGGGAGTTGAGAGAGCGGATGAAGTCGACGATGATGGCCCGTTGGTTTGGTGTGAATTTTCCGTACCAAACGATATTGAGACTGGTGTCTTTTTTAACTAACAGGCTATTGCTGAAACCTATACTGATGTTTCCGGTGAACGGCAGACTGACCGAGATTTGGGCGGAGGAGAAGCTGACGGTGGCGGAGAGGAGAACTAGAAGAGCGGCGAAGCGGTAAGTATAGGCCATGTCGGGAGAGCAAAGAGAGAGAGAGGTGTTTTGTTTTTAAGTTGGTGTTTGTGGAAATAACTAAAGGCTATATTTATAGCAAAATTTTGAACGGAGTGTACTACACCTATAAAACTGCAGAGAGTGTCCAAGTCAACTTAAGCCACCCGGATATATTTAATTGGATTTCGCAAGGAATAATCGTCAGTCTGTACTGTAGTGATTGGTGGTAGTTTCCATAAATGTGTAGTATTAACATATTTCGTAATAATAAAAAATAAATATGAATGTTATGCGTGGTAGTATTAAAATATTTGTCCAAAGTCCAATAATCACACCCCGATAAAATGTAGAGTGATTTAGTCAACTACCCATATTTAAAACTCAAATTAGCAAAATACCATTGATTAGACATGAAGGACACTAACACAACCATTTGGCAAGGAAATACCGAGAATACCCTTTCTCTTTCCTCTCATTAACACGAAGCGTAAAAACATTTGTTAACATATAACACTTCTGTTAACGTCTACAATATTTGTTAACAGCCAACACATTTATTATCGCGAAGCGTAAAAATAATTGTTAACAGTTAACACTTTTATTAACGTCTACAATATTTGTTAACAGCGAACATATTTATTAACGCGAAGCGTAAAAATAATTGTTAACAACTAACACTTCTGTTAACGTCTACAATATTTGTTAACCGCTAACACGACGTCGAATCTAAAACCCAGAAAATTGATATCATCAAAAAAATGTTGGATTCAAAGCCACTTATGAAAAAAATAATGAAATTTAAAATTTAATTGTATGTACTTCTCTAATATCAACACCAAATATGGGTACTTCTCTAACGTCTACAATATTTGTTAACAACCAACACATTTAAAAATTATATATTTTTAATAGAGGTGTTATGTATTAACTATTATTTAAGAATCAAAGTGAACTCAAAAATANAATTTAATTGTATGTACTTCTCTAATATCAACACCAAATATGGGTACTTCTCTAACGTCTACAATATTTGTTAACAACCAACACATTTAAAAATTATATATTTTTAATAGAGGTGTTATGTATTAACTATTATTTAAGAATCAAAGTGAACTCAAAAATATTTAACATATTTATTTTGCATGTAATTCATTTTGAAAATAATAAGAGGAGAGAAGAGCATTGATAACGAAAATGAAAAAAAAAAAATGACACACCCACATGTAAATGCAGGAAGGAAGGAGAGAGAGAAAGAAGGGCAATTCGGTCAGACAAAATAAATATGTTCCATCATGGACAAGTGACTAATATAGACCCCCATTTGGGGTGTATCGGCCAATTAACTCTAAAATGTAAAGGAAACTCGGAGCGTTCGAAAACGTATAGATCCAAGTCCAACTGTTCTTCAACATTATAAAAATAAATTTATTTTGTTTTACTGAATAATCTATTCTATTAAAATAGAGTCATTCTTTTTATCTACTGATACAAGTTATCATTTAAATTTGGACCATTTCTAGAATGTTACAAATAATATAAGTCATATAATTGTTTGAACCGTATTACTTAAATTAAACCAACACAATTAATGTAAAAAGACGACCTTAATGTAAACTACCTTCAAAATACGGCAGATATCTATGTGTATACCGAAAACACATATTTTCTCCTACAAATATGGAATGTTTAAAAAGAATATATATCATCAAAATATGGAATATGAAAATCTACTAATCATACTTAAATTAAACCAGTGGTTGTTTATGTAATATAGTCTTGCGCTTACTTTTATTTTTTGGACAAATTATATAGTTTGGTTCTTGGGCTTAATATTAAGAAAAAACTACAAAAAACATTGAATAAACTTTTCACCTTAAAAGATCAAAAAATCAATTATTATTTTCAGACCGAAAAGATATTTAATATTTTTAACAAAACAAAATTTTCTATTATTAATCATGTACTTTAAAACATGTTAATATATTTTTTATTTTAAATAACAATCACTTTGTTTTGATAAATTTCAATTGTAACTTTTAAATAATTTATTGTTTTATCTTTCTTAAATAATTTACTCATTAAAAAAATGTAAAGCAAAACCAAAAACCAAATCTAAAAACTAAAATCCAAAACCAAAAGCTAAAAACACATATTATATTTTTTTGCTTTGTTTATTTACAATATAAACTATTTCATTTTTTTTTTAAATTTTCATCTTTTCAGTTTTAAATTAGATGTTCGATTATTTGAGATTTGTTTGTTGGTAATATCAGTTCAAACTAACTCAACGGGTTTAAAAATTAAAAACCCAAACCAAAAACTGAAAATGAAAAGTAGAAACTTAAAAACTAAAAACCAAAATCTAAAAATAAAAAGTTAAACTAAAAACTAATGAAAAACAATTATCACCACAAATTTTGGTGAACTGATTTTATATCAAAATATTATTTAAAATAAAAAAAAATCTAATTATATAAATTTTTAATCATAAAAAATTTCTACGCTTTTAAGCGCGGATCAAAATCTAGTTATACTTATTATTGAGTTACGGGAAATTTGGTGCGTTCGAAAACGTATAGATCCAACTGCCCTTCAACATTATAAAAGGAATTAATTTTATTATACTTTATTTCAATAATTAATTATACTTATTTATTGAGTTATATATATGATTACATATTTTCAATATCTGTAGACTACCACGTCATCTAGTCCAAAGTTATTGAATGTTATCATTTAACTTAATAAATAAATATAATTATTAATAAAGTAAAATAATTCCTTTTTATAATATAGAAGGAAGTTGGTTCTTTAGAGCATCCGCAATGAGAGTCTTTAAGGGATAATCTTTAGAGAGAAAATAATTAAATAATCGGTGGATCTTATCAAACGTTAAGAATTCAATCTTTAAAATTTCTAATAAAGAATTCATTTTTAGTGAATCTTTACACTATTTGTAGATCCCTATGACACATGGTAATCCACGATTGATTGATTTTTTTATTTTATATCTCAAAAAATTAATTAAAAAATCAAAATCTAAAGATTCCTGTAAGTAACACCATTATGGATGTTCTCGTACGTTTCCGAACTCACCGAGTTTCCTTACATTTTATCGTCATTTACAAAAACATAGGGTGCGTTTGGACTTCGGACCAATTCACAATAACTCAACGAATACACAGGGAAAATTGAAATTCTTCAAGTTTGTGAGATACATCGATCGTATTCACCGAACAATAGATTCCAAAAGATATATTGACTTCCAACCTATGGATTTATAATCAGAACCACATATTGCACAAATATGGTTAAGTAAATGTTACCTCTTAATAATTCAAGCAACACGTTTGTCCTATTTCATATACTATAGAGGGACAATTACTTGGCAGTTTCCGATTTCACAGATTTATATTATTTTTTCACCTTTGTAACGACGTACAGAATCTTGTTATTGTATATGATAGAAAAATAAATCCCAACAAAGTTTGTGAATTTGATAAATAGGCTTTTATTAGAAATCATGTTACTGTAGATAAAAATAGTGATATATTTTAATAGAGTAGATGTGTGTTTGGGTGTGATGAACGTGCGTTATGTAATTCGTAGGGCTAAAAACTGATTAAGAGGCATCGAAATTAAAAAAAATAACACTAAGGCCTTGCAATCCTTCGTTGTCATGAAATGTGATTTAAAAATATGCTTACGAAAGCAACAAAATGCACGTGAAACTATCAATTAATTATACATTATGAAGAGCTAATTCACAGATGCGTACAAATGACCTAACTTGAAAAACAATCAATGGACAGCTCCATATGATCCAACCTATTAATTCGTCGGTTGTAGCTTTTATACATTTGTAAATCTGCAAACAATTGATTAAGATCATCTCCACCTAATTTCTATTTTTTTTCTTTCAAAACTAGTAGTTAAAGACAAAATCACTCCAATTCATCTCTATTTATTTTTCTAAATAAAGTTTGTTATTTTCTCTATTTATATAAAAGAAGAACAGTTAGCATTTTCTATATTATTATTTTCTTGAAACACAGTTTAATTTTCATCAAGATTAACTTCTTGGATGACAATAATAAGAGAGAATTAAACATCCTCTTGAGAGAGAGACATGACTAGCTACAACAATATAGGAAATTAAACAAGATAAATTTTCATAAGAAGTTGACAGCAAATTCGAGCCAAGACTTGAATGCATCCAAGAAACCTTCACGCAAAAGTCGGACATGAGAAATTTAGTTACATTTTGTTGTGACTTTGAAATCCAACACTCACCAACGAGACGATCCAAAATAGTCCCAGATACACATTCTGGTCCCATACATACCATTTCGCAAGATAACAAACGGGCGAGTAAGCAGTGCCGGCTAAGTGGGGGGGACAATCGGTGCGACCGCCCCGGGTCCTAACCCGTGTCCCCCCGTATATCAATGATTAAGGGGCCCAATTTTTTTATAAATACATATTTTTATACAGAAAAAATTAAAATTTTAATAACTAATTTTGAAAAGGGGCCTAATAATATTTCACAAGTATATAGTTTTATTTTCTATCACAAAATATTACTGATTAAATTGTAAAAAACAAAAAAAAAATTAAATACTGAATAAACATAAATTTTAAAAGGTAAAATTTTTTTTTTGCCCTAGGGCCCCCGACAAAGTTAAGCCGGCCCTGCGAGTAAGCTGAAACAAATTAATACTCGGTAAAGGACCTGAGAGAACATTTCCTTTTACCGAAAGGAGATATGGTTGTAAAAGAGAGATAAGGCACTAATCGCAGAGTATGCACCTTGATGAACTCTTCAGAAATCATTAAGCAAACCAGAAAATTATGAAGAAAGACAACAACAAAAAAAGAGGTAAACAAGTAAAAAGGGGAAGAGAAAACGAGACCGGTTGTCTAAAACCTTGTTTATGGGTTTGTAATAAATGGCGCTGTGTTTGATCAAAAAAAGTAAAATAATCTAGTTTCTGTTATATATAATTTGGGAAAATTGCATAAAAAATCATGAAATTAGTAAAAGTTTACAT